AATCAGAATAAGACTGAGTGAAACCATAAGATTTGAGAGAAGTTGCTAATTTTGCAAACCAACAACGAGGAGCTTGGCGCAAACCATACAAGGACTTCTTCAAACGGCAAACAAGACCTGGACGAGTAGGATAGAAACCGGGGGGTAGCTTCATGTACACCTCCTCATCGAGGTCACCATGAAGAAAAGCGTTATGCACATCCATCTGATGAACCTCCCAATTACAGGCAGCCACTACTGCAAGGAAAGTTCTAACGGTGACCATCTTCGCCACGGGAGCGAAAGTTTCTGTATAATCAATGCCCTCCTCTTGATAGATTGCCAAACACAACAAGACGGGCCTTGAGACGTTCAACGGTCCCATCAGAGTTATACTTAATTTTGTATACCCATTTACATCCAAGAGCCCGTTTTCCGGGTGGCAATCGCGTCATAACCCAAGTGTGGTTATCCTCCAGCGCTCGTATTTCTTTCTGCATAGCATCTCGCCAACCGGCGTCAGTCATGGCCTCTTTAAAAGAACGGGGCTCCATACCTGCAAGTATAGCCCCAAGAAAGGCACGATGGCGAGGGGAAAATTTTTCACAGTTCATATAATGAGCTGTGTTGGACGGAGATGGGCTTTTGTGTTGGACGTGGTGGGTAACAAAATCTCGAAGGAGGACCGATGTGCGTTTTTCACGCTGACCGCGGCCTAGGTATTCATGCTCAGGGGAAGTAGTAATTGAAGTAGTGCCTGTATTACTGTCCGCAGCAGTGGCATGAGGATTGCTGGGCATGCTGCCCAATTCTGAGTCAAGCCGCAAATCCTCATCATCATTAACCAATGGTACTGGTACATCCAATGCAGGTGATGTATCTCCTAAATCCTTTTCAGACCATGTGTCAGAAACATTTGAAAAAGGAAATTCATCTTCATGAATTGAACATCACGCGAAACAAAAATGTCACCGGTTTCAGGATCACACACCTTCCACCCCTTTTTGCCATGAGGATATCCGAGAAAAACACATCGCCTACTACGTGAAGTAAATTTATCACCCCGGGATTTATGATTATAGGCAAAACATAAACATCCAAAAACTCTCAGGTGACGAAAATCAGGAGCATTGCCAGTAAGAACTTCAAACGGGGTCTTACTTTCAAGTATACCAGATGGAGTGCGATTAATCAAATATACGGCTGTCAATACACATTCACCCCAAAACCGGATTGGGAGGTTAGCCTGAAACATCAAAGCACGAGCCACATTTAAAATGTGACGATGCTTACGTTCAACCCTCCCATTTTGCTGAGGCGTATGCACACAAGATGTTTGAAAAGTAATTCCATGAGCATCAAAATGAGGAATCATGCATTTAAATTCCGTACCATTATCGCTACGAACAATTTTGATAATCGTGTCAAACTGATTTTCAATCATAGCAAGAAATGATAGAAAAAATTTGTGAACCTCCTTCTTGTCACGTAATAAATACACCCAAACGGCTCTAGAGTAATCATCAACAATAGTCAAGAAATAAACGGCATCACATGTAGAAGGTGTATTATACGGACCCCACAAATCACAGTGTGTTAACTCTAAAATTCGACTGGCTTTATTATTGCTAAGGGGAAAAGAATCACGAACTTGTTTTGCTTGCGGACAGACACTGCAAGCATTATTCAATTTCTTGCTAGAATTAGAACTAAACACTGGTAATAGTTTAATAACACGATCTGATGGATGCCCCAAACGTCGATGCCACAACTCAAATTCAGGTAATCTGGATGTCGTCACAACATGTAGTAAAGGTATTCCCCGGAAATAGAATAGCCCATCTCGCCGTTCACCGGCTCCAATCAGGTTCCTCGAGTGACGGTCCTGTATAGCACATAATGAGTCAGTAAAAATCACCATACAACCACATTGATCAATCAATTGAGAGATGGATATAAGATGACAATTTAATCCCGGGACAAAAAGAACATGTTCAAGAGCAAAATTATAAGACAACTCCACACGTCCTGTCAACGTGGCATTAACCGTACGTCCGTCAGGCAAGCCAACCCGACACCCAGAAATTTTGCCGACGTTGCTAAGGCGAGATATGTCCCCGGTAACGTGATGCGAATCTCCCGTGTCAAGAATCCAGTCACAAGAAAAAGACTTACCCGCCATGCGTTCACTGGACTCTACTTTGGTATCAATCATATGTAAAAGGGCCTGCACCTGCTCTTGGGTCAACATGCTCAAAGGATGCCCAGTACTGCTGGCAGAAGAAGACGGAGTATCTGAAGTCCCCAGTGCAGGAGAAACTGCGTGTGCCCGTGCTCCCCCTCGCCCTGGAACAGTAGCTTTGTTCTTATTTCTGTCTTCCCACCACTCGGGATACCCAACAAGCTTGAAACATGAATTGACTTCGTGGCCCTTCTGCCGGCAATGGGTACACAGTAGTTTAGAACGATCTGGTTTTTCGAGTTTGCCCTTCGGTCTGTCAGCTTGTAAAGCGAAGGCACTGAGATCCGGCATCGTTGCTTTCCCTCGTGCAACAGCTCGTGAGCTTTCCTCCTGTAGGAACGATTGATGCGCAACATTTATATCCGGTAATGGTGTACGGGATAGCAAATTTGATCTCACAGTGCCATAGAGTTCATCATCTATACCAATTAAAAATTGGTGTAGTTGTTCTTCATCACGGTCTGCGGCGAATTTCTCAACAACACCACAAGTACACCTTCCACACGTACACGCATGAAGAGGTTTCAGCCTGTGCAATTCGTCATATAATCCCATCAGCAGTGTGTAATAGGCATCAACCGACATACCTTTAGCTTGTTTACAATCAGTAATCGAGGCACGGAGTTGCTGCAGACGCGGGCCATTAGCGACGCTAAAGCGTTTCTCAAGATATTTCCACATACTGCGTGCTTCGTCATGGAATGGGATTGACGCCGCAACCGCTGCATCCATGCTTCGCAAAATCCAAGAAACAATCATTGAATTGACTGTTTCCCAATCCTGTAATTGTTTTGCCTCAGTTGGTTTTCGCATCGTGCCTTCAATGAAAGCATGCTTCCGACGTGCCTTCAAGGATAGAGTAATAGCCCTAGACCAAGCCACATAATTATCACCCTTGAAAATCACATGAGTGATAAGATTGCCGGGCTGATCTCCTGACCCGAGATAATATGGCGAAGATGAGTCAATTTTCGAAGCTTCTGCGTCTCCTGCCATGGCCGTTTGAGGAGCAACTCGCTGGTGTTGCTATAGCCTTCTACGTACGTACAAGAGATGCGCCGCCCCTGTTATGGCTCTGATACCATGATGGATTCTCACGTATCATTCAAAATAGGCTAATTGCCTTAGGTTTCATTAATCACAATAGTATAATTTATACAAGTAATTACATGGGCCCATGGGCTGTTAAGGCTATACAAAGGTAAACGCTAATTACATAATAAGACCCAAAATAGTTATGCTAACAGACATTAATCAGATCTTTTAATCAAATGCAAATAACACCTTGGTTGTGGTAAAGACTAAAGACCTGCATTGGTATTTGGAAGGTGGATAATTAAATTGTCACTTACTTGAATATTTACATCTTTACTATAGGAGAGATGATCCAAAATTGGATCTTTTCAGATGAAAATGTATGGTTAGATCTTCCTCATGGTTCTTTGCACATTAAATTATACTTCGTACTTCGTATGAATTTCTTCAATATTCGAGATTGCAGAAGTGTGTTTCTTGATATATTTCGTATAACATAAGCAAGATACTTAAAACGAGAAAAAGTAAAAAAAGAATAGATGAAAAGTAAACTCCTGTGGTAGTTTTCCAAAATAAACATGCCCTAATAGCAACTTTTTTATAAAGAAATTGAACAATTCCTAAAATGGGAGATGATATAGAATGTGTTAACATATTATACAATACATGAGTTATAAATGATAGTTTAAATTAAATGATAGAATGAAAAGGGTAAATCGTTTCATGTTTAGCTTTGATAAATGATAGTTTACATGAGACTAATTTTATAGTTATAGATTTGATATATGTGCCAAATATATCATAAATATCACGTAGGTAATGAGTAAATGAGAGGTATTTTTGAAATTTGAGAATATAATCAATATTACGCATCCATTTTACTAATTTTTACTTTAGATAGTAAAGATTTTTCAGAAGTTATAATTTCTTATTAGTAATGAGTTTGATGAGTCATAACTTATCAAATTGAAAGTATACCAGTGCTCTGATTGTAAAGTTATAGATTTGATATATATGCCACATACTACGTTTATCAGAAATTTCACGTAAGTAATGAGTAAATGAGATCTATTTTTTAAATTTGGTAATATAATCAATATTACGCATGCATCAACATTTACTAATTTTAACTTTAGCTAATGAGTTACGGGGGGTCATAACATATCAAATCAAAAGTATATCGATCAGTCCTCTATATTCTCGAACTTTCAGAGGGATCAACTGACCTGACCCACCCTTGGCTCCTTCTCTGTATGGACTTATGTCCTACTTAAATAAATCTCTATGTACTTTTAGTATGGTTAATGCAGCATATAATTGTTGATTGAATAACAAGACTTCTACACCTACACGTCCCGATAGTTCGAAATCAAGAAGTTAAGTTATAAGAATAAGATTGAGTCTTTGCGCTTGTTTCTATTTTTTTAAGAAATGGTTAATTTTAGAGACTAGTTAATTATATGTTTGAAAAGTGGTTAATAGTAAATGGTGATAATGTTTCAAAGTAAAAGTGAATTTGAAAAAGTAAAACTTGAAATTTCTGTAAAATGGGAATTTTTGTGTAATAGAAAAAGTGAAAAACTCATTCATATGCTTTCATCTTTTAGTGTTTGAAGTATTTACTTTAAATACAAACGGTTTGAAAATAATATTTTTAACTTTTAAAAATAAAACCTCTAGCAGAGAAACACTTCGAAAATTTGTTGACATATTTACTAGTTTGTTGTCGTGATCGAACTTGCAGTGGTTGATTGATAACCCGGAATTCATTTCAAATGATTTCTATGTTGGTGGCGACTCCTACTCGGGCATTACAGTTCCAATACTGACTGAAACGATATCTAACGGTAAGACGGCAAGAGTACGCAAATTTAATACTCCATCCGTCCCTGTTTAAAAGTTCAACTTTCCTTTTCGTGTGATCCCTAAAAAAAGTGATAAACAAAACGGTGCAAAACAATGTCAAAGAATATCACACATTGTCACTTTCTTAAAATATGTATACGATGAAAGGAGACTTTTAAATAAGGACGAAAGGAGTATCGAATATGAGTATTATAATGACTATATACTAATTGTGGGTTTAAAATATGATAGTATGTATTTTGCTAAATGGGACTATAGGTAGTGGCGGAGTCAGAAAAACGTGTGAGAGGGGTCGAGATTTAATTATATACAATATCACAATAGTGGATACTGGATAGTTATAAAACAATATTTGGTTTAAATATTTCATATGTAACTGAGATAAATGGTAGTTTAATGAGACTTTTTCGATTAATTTAATGATATATATGTAATATATCATAAAGTTCACACAACTAATGAGTGATAAGATGTTTTATTTTTAAATTTAAGAATATCATCAATACCACACATCAAATTTTGCTTATTTCAAATCTTCATGATGCAGAGTTTTCCAAAATTCATAACTTTTTACTCATAACGAGTTACGAGACCCATAATATATCAAATCGAAGGTATTTCAGAGCTCTACGTTCTCGAACTTTCAGGGGGCGTCTGACCAACCTGACCCCCTTGGCTCTGCCCATATTTTGACATTATTAGATGTTGATATGACACTACTAATGTAATAAATGAAAGTATTTTCGGTGCATGACACTAGTTATTCCTATTCAATGAAAAAATATAATTTTTATTTTATTTTAAATTACAGATTACTTTTAATTCTGTTTACGGGAATTTCCATTTTTTTGATCAATCATAATTACGCTTTGTTTTAAGTTTAAATATGTATGAAAAAACTTCAATTCATTGAGCAAAACATAGTTTTAAACCCCGTGAATACATTTTTATTATAACTAACTGTCTCAGTTGTGTTAAAATGTATGCAGGAATTGAGAGGGGAATTGAGCCATTGGTTCGACTTCAGGTCCATAAGTTTTCTTTTTTACTGTGAAACCAGTACTTTCATTCATTTAGAGAAACATCTGCCAAAAGCCCAAAATATAATCAGGAGCACAGACGGACCGTAGTAGAGATCCAGGGGGCTACCGCCTGCCTCACTCCCCCCCCCCCCCCCCCCCTCCAACAATTTTGTTTAGTGTATATATATGTGAAAAATAATTTTCTTCCTACCAAAAAATATTTCGAACCCTCAAAAAACATTTTCACCCCCCAAGATCACTTTCTTGAATCCACCCCTGATCAGGAGAATGATCAAATAATAGTCTATCATCTGCCTTAGAATGGGTAGCTCTAGCTAAAGTCTGAGTTGCACAATTCGTGGATCATTTATAGCAAATAATAGACATATGTGTTTAGGGAGCAGATGTTTGATATCACCAACTATGAGGTCGAAATAGGAACTTCCCACATCTTCTTCCAGCCTCAAAATGATCACTTGAGCATCCGTCTCCACTTCAATAGATGCTCACCTCAATTCCTTAACCCGTGTCAACACTAGGGTCGGTCCTGGTATAGGGGCATCCAGGGCTGTTGCCCAGGGCCCACCAAGGAGAGGGGCCCATAAAGTATATAGTAGTAGTATATATATTGAGTCATGCTCATCTGAGGTGTGCTAACCAGGAGTGTCGTTTGGTGAAGTTCATTTGAGGTGCTTTCGAATAGTATTTTTTTAATAAAATTTTGTGAGCATGTTGTTGATGAAGTGTAGATTATGTACACAAAGTTTCAGCTTAAAACTCAATCGAGAAGTAAGTCAAAGAAATTATTGAAAAACATTGCGCTTTATAAATATATAAAAAGCGCAGTTTTTCAATAATTTATTTAAACGGCTTTCTGGTTGAATTTTAAGCTGCAATTTACGAACATAATTTACGCTTCAAGAAGAGTTTTCTAAAAAAATTCATCAAAAACAGTGACCCGAAAAAACTTGAAACGGGTTTTACCTTATGAAATATTTGGTCCAGCGTGCCTGATCATGTCATTTCTCTATACTCTAAAGCTAACTTATTAACTCGTTACAACAAGGCAAAATCTCTAAAGTTACACAAGAGTACTCATCATTTTCTTTTATTCACCAATTAATTTGACATTCAAGGGAATTTTGTGCATAAATAATTATAAAAAAGGAGGTGTGACACATTTTTTATCACGAGGTAGTAAAAAAAGGAGGTGTGACACATTTCCCAAATCGCTACACTTTCCCGTCCAAAACTCCATCTATCCCACTAAATACTTCACACACACACACACACACACACACACACACACACACACATATATATATATATATATATATATATATATATATATATTGATGGATAGTGTACCCGGGGGTAGCTTATCTGAAGGTTATTGCGGAGAATAACTAGAGAGAAGTCAGAGCAAACAAGTAAGAGAGAGTCAAATGTATTAAATGAACTCGTTGTGTTTACAAAGGGAATGATGGCTGCTATTTATAGCAGCCATAAATGCGATGAGGGTACACGTATCAACGATCCAACGGCCGAGGGTCACTTCCATTTGGGTGGCATCGACATTCGCATGTGGCCGCATTAAATGCGGTGGTTGGATGGGACGTTGTACTTGGTACGGTGATTCAGGCGCATGTGGAGAGGAGATCCTGTCTAGTAGGTCGCCTTCGGCTATAAATGCTGTGCCGAAGGCTCCATGCACCGGGGCCGTATGCCGAAGGCCACTGATTTCCGCCATTTTCTCCCCGTGGCTTGGTATCCTAAAATCTGGCTGTCTTGCGATGTTTTGGAGCCCTCGGCCATGGGCCGAAGGCATCCGTATGTGCACCGCGGACTTCTTGGCACCTGGGCCGCTGTGCCTTGTGCCTCTTGTGTTTCCTGGGCCTGTTGGGCCCGTGTTAGGGTAATAGGAGTCTGTGAGCCGGGGGTTCCCGGACCATATTATTATCACAAGCAAATTTCCATATATTATTATTGTGAAAATTTACTAATTGCATCGATCTATCCACACACACACATATATATGTATATATATATATATATATATATATATATATATATATATATATATATATATGTATATGAAGTTTCGCTCATTAAACCCATTTTATATCATTATTTAAAATCTGAGCTTGCTCGTGAATTTGATGGCAGGGATACATAGTCGGTAACCCCTTAACTTTTCATGACCATATCTATAGAATTCGGTTTGCTCATAGAATGGCACTTATCTCCGACGAGTTATATGAGGTACACTAAATAATTACTTCGAATAATGACAAATGATCTGATTTACTTTCTTTCTCACAATAATTGTAATTAATGTTCTAGTAAATTTCTTTTACTATTTACTAATACTCCTTGCAGGAGCAATATTATAAAATTTTCAAAATTACAAATACTCTTAGTGAGGGGAACGAGCAATATTATGTACTACCTCCGTTCCCATTTTAACTTCCAAATGGGTTTGGCACAAAGTTTAAGATAGTGGATATTGTGTGGTGGAGAGTTGTGCAGAAGAGAGAGAAATGTGTAAGAAATGTTGTGAACCACAAATTCTTTACCAAAAAGGGAAAGTGGAAGTTTTAATTGGAACGGACGAAAAAGGAAAGTTGGAAGTTTATTTAGGAACGGAGGGAGTAATTTTCTTATATATTCAGGGGTGTTTGGGTCTGATTCTTAAAACTGCTTCCGATCCTTCAGAAAGCCGAAACAGAAGTTGGAGTGTTTAGGTGAAAGTGCAGAAGTACTAGTAGTGCTCTAATTTACTCCTAGAAGCAGTTTTTTTAGAAGCTAGGGGAGAACAACTTCTGAAAATTGATTCTGATTCTGCTTCTGCTTGAAAAATGAAGAAGAAGCAGAAGCATAATCAGTTCCAAACACCCCTGAGTAAGTCATAACTTATTGAAAAATTAGACAAACTCATATTACTAATATCCATTCCCTTTTCTGAAGTCGCTGAAAATAAATTGCAAAGGAGAGTATGAGGTTACTGATTCGACCAATGTATTATGCCAACGAGATCTTCAAACCTATGATCAGGTCAGAGGTTGCACAAATTAATTTAAAATATTCTAATAAATAGTTTATGAGCCCGTTTGGCAGCACGAAAATCGGCTGTTCCAACTGATTCTGCTGAAATTTATGAATATCTTGCAGAAATGGCTGCATTGGCTGATTCTGCTTATACAAGAAAAAAATATTTTTAAAATATATTTTATTAATAAAATAAAGAAAAAATTATATGTAAGAATAGCTAAAATGGTCATCTACAGTAACTTCAGCCAATACAGCCAGAAAAGTAACTCCAACCTTACTTTTTCGACTTATTACACAATTCAACGCACGAAAGCAAATTTACGTGTTTGGTAAAAAAGTTGACTGATAAGCCTGATAAACCGAAAATGAGGGTTGCCAAACGGCCTCTATATATAATAAATAGAAGATTTGCAATTTTAGTCCTATAACTTTCGGTTGTTATTATTATTGGTCATGTAACTTTAATCACTTGCAAATTTGGTCATGTAACTAAGAAATCTTTGCAATTTAAGGACTTTTTCACCGGAAAGTGCAGTAAAAATCGACGCCGGCGGCATCTTTTCCGGTATACTATTGTCGGAAAGTGTACTTAAGGGGAAAGTCCTTAATTCATAATGATTTATTAGTTAATGGACCAAATTTACAAGTGACTAAAGTTACGGGACTAATAACGAAAAATGACCTAAAGTTATGAGACAAAAATTGCAAATTTCTCATAATATATTTGGGGTGTAACTTGCATTAGCCGGCATGTTGGCTTCAATATTTTGCAGTTGATTGAGGGAATATATCTTAATCATATTTTGGAGCCTATTTGTTTGTCTGATTCTTCTTCTTCAAGAGTATCATCATCAAGATCTATAATTAAGCAATTCGGAGAAAGAAGGTATTTGCTTAATGAGAATTACCAAAAAGGACTTGGGAACCCTGATCAGCTTCCAGGGTTGAAATGTCGGGTATGTGTATAAACTTAATAAATCTGGAATGTCGGGTCAAATGCATAAATAATATCTTAACTATTGGTATTGTTGCGTTTTGGTACCTTAACTGTTAAATAAATCAAATCAGTACCATAATTATACATAGATATTTCAACTTGAGATTTTATTAAAATTTGCGGCCAAAAAATTCTTCATGGCGATCAAAATTCCATGTGTAGAGTCACCATATAGTGATTATATGGACAAAAATAAGGTGAAGTAAACTTTCTACATAGAATTTCGGCTGTCACATGTGATTTTTTGGCCGCAAATTTGAATAAAATCTGAAATTGAAACATTTATACATTTAAGAGTTAAGATGTTTTGATTCATTTAAGAGTTAAGGTACCAAAATGCAAGTATGCAACATTACCAATAGTTAAGGTACCATTTATACATTTCACTTGTGGAATGTCCATCAGTGATGGAATTAAGATGTTTTTACTTGGATTGTTTTCGTTCCAAACCAGACTAGAGCAGACAACACTTGGATAGTTCAAAAATCCACAGAGACCAGACATTCACCAGATCAGATTAGACCAATTCAGACCAGATCAGATTAGACCAGCAAACTTCAATCCAAGTAAAAACATCCTTAGGTTTTTATTTTCTAGATTTAAATGTGTAGCACATACATATCGAAGAGAAAATTCCATTATTAGTAACAACATGTAACATAACATACACGACCCTTTCAAACACAAGTACGTGTTATTGTATACTACCTAAATAAAATATGATTCTTTTTTCCGATGTTTATTTATTAATATTGGGTGCGGTTCCGATAAAAACCATCCTTATCGTGCAAATTGCAAACCGTAACTTTTGGCTTAATTTGATTCACTTTAAAGCTCGTCTCTTGCAATTTTTGAACTTTGATCGCATCAAGTCAAATAGAAAAAAACGGTGGCACTTCTATAAATAAGTCAAAGTTGTATGTCATTGTGAAAAAGTGCAATATAGAAACCTAATAGCGCATAACAATGGGAGAAAAGTGCCCGATTTTTAATTTTCACGGGAAGAAAAGTTTTTATTTGATCCGGAATTTATCAAGTATTATATACTATGTATTATATATATATACTAAGTAGTATATGCGATGAACAGTTGTGTAATTAGCTATTTACCTGTGATTCATGATTCAATGTGAAGGATGATTGGAATAAACTGTCTGAGTATTGGGCAAATGATGATCGTGTTCAAGAAGCTCTTCATGTCCGTAAGGTATTTTAAATAAAAATATGAGATCGAGCACAATTCAATCACGGTTTATATACCACTGCGTTATACTTTGGACAATTGCACCATCATATTATTATGTGTAATTGCTCTAAATATTACTAGTATTCATCATTCCCAACATAAGTGTTCATAACACTTTTCCATTCTTCGTTGTTACCTCTGTCCCACTAATATTAATATGAAAGAGTGTGACACGATTTTTAAGAAAAATGAATTTGTGTGGTTGATATTAATTAATTTATAAAGTAAGAATAAAGTAAGAAACTAAGAATGATTGTGACACACACAAAATTTACCAAATTCAGAATGAGATAATTTTAGTGAGATTTTCCGAAAAAGTAAAATAAGATAATATTAATTAGCGGGACTGAGAAAGTATAATTTAACACCAAAACAATGCTTTTACTTATCTGTTCGTATCCATAATCAGTGGAGGAGTTGGGGAGGGGCATGAGGGGCAAGTGCCCCCGCTTCGGGCAAAAAAAATATAATTAGTACTACTAGTACTTATAATATATTTAATGCATGCATCGCTTCTTCTTTTCAAAATTCAATAGCAATTAAGATTAATTTTAGATTAAGTGTTAAAATAAAAGGCAAATTAAAGTCTTTCAGGAAACGTATGTGTCTCTAGGAATACAAGTATTGACTGCAACATACCACACTCATTTGAATGCAACGGTGCATTGTTTTAGACCTTTAATGACACACGAGTTGGCTTTTCGTGGTTATATTGAGCAAGAAAGTATTGAGTTTGACGAATATGTTGTCACATTTCTTAGAACGAAAAGATCAAAACATTCTTGAGACTGTGTTGGATTTCCTCCTTAGTGGAGAAATTCATGAGAATTTTATAATTTACAGAGATGTCGAAGATTCTTTATATTTGTGTAAAGAAGTATTGAATGTTCTAGAATAATAATGTGGAGTTTTCCAGAGAAGTGTGAAACTCACTAAAATCATGTGAAAGTGCGTGAAAGCCTTTAGGACATTTTGAGGAATTGTGAAGTTCTCTAAATCCTTCAAGAAGATTAGAGAAGCTTGTAGATACTTTTTGGAAGAATCTAGATGTTTAGTGGTGTATAAAAAAATTCCAGAGAAACTTTGATGAGATTACTATAGAGAAGTTTCATGTTTCTATCAGAGCTCTTGAGTGATTGAAAGTGAGACTCTCCTTGAGAGAGGAAAGTGAGAGTCTTCTTGTGAAAGAAGAAGACTCAAATATATCGATTGGTGAAGTGTGTGTGATCGAGTTAGGTAGAGTGAAATATTCCCAAATACAAAGAGTGAGTGCGATTAATAGAAAGTGACATTGTCAGATTGAGTCTTTGTATTATGAGTGTGTAGATAAGTGTACAAGAATCTATGAGCTCATGATCCTGGAAAAGACCGGTAGTCGTGTTTCTCCAAAATTATGTTATTGTACAACATTTTGAATAAATTAAAACTCATATGATTGATCTATCCTGATTATAGATACGAGTCAAGCAATATGTAATGAACTAAATTGTGCTATTGTATTAAACTTTTATTGTTTTTATTATATTTTGAGCAATTACACAATAATTCTTAGCTTTCGATATGTCTCCTTCAAATAGCCCAATATAGTGGCAGAGGCGGAGTGATTTGCAAAGCCGGCCACGTTTTGCAATTTGCACGACAGTTTGCGGCAACTTTATCTTCTTATTCTTCTTAACTCATTCTTCATCTCTTCTTCTAGATCCGGACTTCTTTATCTTGCTTCGGATTTCCTTCTTTTGTTTCATCTTTGACATATTTATTTTCCTTTCCCTCTCTTTTTCAAAATGACTATTTTTGGTATTTTCTCTTAAAAAACTTTTTCGAGCCTGTTTGGTAGCATGAAAATCGGCTGATTTTGGCTGATTCTGTTGAAATTTATGAAGTTCTGGCTGAAGTGCTGCATTGGCTTATTCTGCTGATTTAAGAAAAAAATAATTTTAAAATATATTTTATTAATAAAATAAAAAAAAAAATTATATGTAAGAATAGCTAAAACGGTCATCTACAGTAACTTCAGTCAATACAGCTAGAAAAGTAACTCCAACATTACCTTTTCTGCTTATTACACAATTCAGCGCGCGAAAACAAAAGTCACATGTTTGATATAAAAGTTGACTGATAAGCCTGATAAGCTGAAAAACATTGTTACCAAACAGCTTCTTCATATTGATTTCTCTTTTAGTGATTACATAGTATTTGGGATCTCAAACTGTCATGCTTATTGTTTTTTAGATTTTGGCAATACATACTATTAAGCATTGGTTTGATGCTATTGCAAAATTTAGTCATTTTAATGGTTAACGGATCTCAACTAAATAAGGAAATTGTAGATTAGTGTAATTTTAGTCACTTGCAAATCATGTAATGCACTTAATGCTTTTGTTTACATTATAGATCTTTCACCACAAGGTATTGCTATATGACCAAGATGTCACAGGTTCAACTCTTGAAAGAACTTGCCTCTTATACACCTTTGTGATGGTAGCCTCGCATTGCGAGGATGATTTCGTACACCATGCTGCCTTTGTTTAACATATTTTGGTGAAAAAGATTTATGTCAGTGACACTATACCCAGTGTGGGTTTATCTAAGGAATTACATTTTGGTATAAAAGTACTAAACATTCAAAACGTTACTAGTTACATGATATAATCTACAAATGACGACGGCCTGTTAAAGCCTCCTATAAAAGAGGTGATTTGCACCTTTCGGTTAGTTTGAGGGCTTATTTGCACCTTTTCCCATAACAGAATTAATGTAAATATAGATAAGTTATGAGACTAATTAAATAAATCTTTTTACAATTCTAGTGAGGTGTATAGAGAAGTTGCTTTGATAACATTGGGCTTTAAAAAATGTTACCATCACATTAGTTATGCAAGCTCAGTAAAATTATGATATCATTTTGCGACATAAAATTACTTACATGTATGTGAACTTATAGAACAATTCTCATGTAGGGGGCTAAGAAAATATGGGAACATTGCACTTCAAATTTATCCTTCACAACGACAGTCGATAACGTGATACCATACCATGTGAAGCTCAGCCGAAAAAAGTACAGGTCTCTTGTCTACAGGTAAGTCTCTTGTCTACAAGAATTTGACTACTTTTTTCATTTGAAAACTCATATTTAAGGCTCATAACATCAAAATTGGTTGATTCAATTTGCTGAAATTACTAAAATATGGTTGAAATGGCCGAACATATGGAATTATAAATTGGAAAAAGGCAAAAAAACTAAAATAGTTCTGCTCAACAGAATCATCTATTCAGTCAGAAAAGTACTTCAACATTATCATTTTAATCAGAGAATATTACCCGAAATAGGACTAAAACAGTTTGAAAATTCCAGAGTAGGATTGCCATATTTTTATTTCGAAAATAGGACTAATTACTGTCATGTTTTGGCAGTACCAGACTTCAAACATGGCAGTATTTTCTAAACATGACAGTAATTAGTCATATTTTGGGAATAAAAAACATGATAGTCTTATTTTGGAATTTTCAAACTGTTTTAGTCCTATTTCGGAAACTTTCCCTTTTAATTATTATAAAACTCAAAATGTAAATTCAAAAGTTCGGTATTTGATAAGAAAAATGATTAATAAGGTTGTTAAGTCTAGAGACTACCAAATGAACCCTAAAGCACTTTTTATTCATGAATAATGGGACTCATTTCAATCGAACAAATACTAGTATCATATACTAGTATATACTTTCGTATTAAGTTAAATCAACAAATCAATCTAAAAAAATGTCCAAAAACCAAATGAATTTAAAATAGTACCCTATAAGTAATTTATAGTGGTCATGCACGTCTTGCCTTCAAGACAATACTTTCTTTAGAGAAGTATAATTAACTTTTTCAAAAATAGGAAAAGAGACTTAGTCATATTTTTATTTCAGCATATCTAATCAAATATGAACAATTTTTTTTTGAAAAAAATATGCAGTGGGGATCATGACATGCTTATTCCATATATCTCAACTGAAGCATGGATAAATTCGTTAAACTATTCTATTATCGATAATTGGAGACCATGGTTGGTTGAAGGTCAAGTTGCAGGGTATGTTTTGCATTCTTTTTGCTATTATTTGCCTCATACATTAACTATCCCACACTTCTAGTTGTGAAACCTAAGAAAAATATAATTAAAACAATGCTACTCATGTTTTAATATGCATGTTTATTAAATGACATATTTGTTTCAACATTATTGAAATTGATCTTCCATTATATACAATTATACATTATGGTATATGTTTTATTTCCATACATGTGTGTGTATATGTGTGCATAGAATAGTCTGCTTCAAATAAAAAGAATATCTCAAGTCAAAAATAAGAAAATACCTTGGCCTTTGATTTGATAAAATGGAATGAATGTATCATTTTTTGATGTCAAGACACAGTGACATTATGATAAATATGGAAAACTTTTGAATTAATAAAAACGCGCAAATAAAACCGCTCTTAATGCTGAAAAAGTCAATAGTGCGTAGTAAGTGCATCAAGAGATGTACAGATCGAACTGTGCATGATAAAAATGTCAAATAACAATATTATATGAACATACACAAAATGTATTCGTATTATAAAACAATGCACTGTTATTATTAAATATTGCATGTTGGAGTTTTATTTACTTAAAGACCTGGGCCAGTCTTAGGTGGGGCAACATGGGCGACCGTCCTAGGCCCGAAAAAATAGTCTTAAGTTAAGATTATATCACCATATGTTTTGAATTAGTGATGAACGAGTTCATCCGTTTTTTGAGATACAGACATATATAATGGGATCCTTTGCGGCACTGGGGTAAATGAAAATGAAAGACATATATAATGGGATAACATCTTTTCATTTCAACCTTTGTCATACTTATACAAATAACATCAGAATTGATAATGGAGGGGCATTTTTGTCTTTACAGACGAGGTTGAGGGTTTAAATACAAAGTTTTTTAAAAATGGGTTGCAAAGTTCCAATTAGACAATAAAATGGGGTGCAAACTCAAATTATATATATAATGAAATATATATATATATATATATATGTGTGTGTGTGTGTGTGTGTGTGTGTGTGTGTGTGTGTGTGATGGAATTTGTTTCTTTCATTTCACCCTATATATATAGGTACACGAGAACGTATGCCAATCGGATGACATTTGCAACTGTCAAGGTAAATTTTGTACGTTTTTCTGCAAATATTTTGAGAAAGATATAAGAATTTAAGCAACGATTTGTACTTTTGCAAGGGGGTCTATGTATATCATTAGTATACATGTTTGGGGTTTTTATTTTTAAATAGCAATCTTAAGCACACGGGAGAATCTACATAGGGTTATGGTGGGTTGCAGACCAGAGCAACACAATTTTTTTTTTTCAAATTTGTAATGTAAAATTTTTCATTTTTCATATTTAGCTTTTTTGATGTCCAACCTAATTTGTAGGGAGGTGGTCATACTGCAGCTGAGTTCCGACCCTCGGAATGCTTGGCGATGTTTGAAAGATGGATATCTTATAACGATATCTAATCATGAATGTGTGATAAATTTGTGATAATATGTTTACAAATTTACGGTATCAACTACGTAAAGTTTAGAAGTATTTTATGAAAATTGCTATTCATGGAGTATTTTGGGATTATAACTTCTGCATTTAATGATTACATATCAAGGACAGATTGATATTCGAGGGAGGGCTTAGGCCCACACTAAAGAAAAAGTATTTTCTACTCCCTCCGTCCCAAAATGATGGTCATGTATTACTTTTTGGGATGTCCCAAAAGGATGGTCATATTTTCTTTTTTGGTAAAGAACTAAAAGTTTACAGGGAAATCTTCCGAGGTAGTCGAGGTTATGAGCAGAAGGAATATCAGCATTATGTGTGTGCAAGAAACTAAATGGGTTGGAGAGAAAGCACGCGAGATTAATCCTGGAGGTTTTAAGTTGTGGTATTCGGGGAGAGATAAGACTAGAAATGGGGTAGGCATTATTGTGGCGCGTGACTATGTTGAGGATGTGGTAGAAGTCTTCAGGAAGAACGATCGCATCATGAGCATTAAATTGGTGATAAGAGGTGAGATTGTGTCTGTGTTAAGTGCCTATGCACCACAAGTGGGATTGGATGCATCTACAACTCAACAGTTCTGGGAAGATCTTGAAGACGTGGTGCGACGAGTGCCAAGGGGGGAGAAGTTGATCATAGGAGGTGACCTCAATGGGCATGTGGGCTCGAGTCGTGATGGCTTTGAGAATATTCATGGCGGACATGGTTTTGGCACTAGGAAAAAGGCGGGAAAGAACATTTTGGATTTTGCCTTGACGTATGAGTTGGCTATAATGAACACTTGGTTTAAGAAAAGAGACTCTCACCTTGTAACCTATAAAAGTGGAGCTAATAGTACCCAAATTGACTACTTCTTAGTACGGACCACTGGGAGAACTAGCTACATTGATTGTAAGGTTATTCCAGGTGAGAGTGTTGTCACTCAGCATAGGATGCTTGTGCTTGACTTTCGAGGTAAGAACCATAGAAGACAAGTTAAACAACAAGTGGAACCAAAGATAAAGTGGTGGAGGCAAGAGGGAGATCTTCAACAAAGCTTTACACACAAAATGGTTGGTGAAGATGTATGGCGTATCGATAATGAAACACATGTGGATGATGTGTGGTTATCAATGGAGTTGACCATTAACAAAGTGACAAAGGAGGTACTTGGAGAATCTAAAGGATGTCGGCCACCTAAAAAGGACACATCTTGGTGGAATGATGAGGTGAAACAAGCCATAAGGAACAAAAGAGATTGCTACAAAAAGTTGGGGACAAATTGGAGTGATGAGAACATAGAAGCATACAGGGAGGCTAAAAGACAAGCAAAGAAAGCCGTAAGGGAAGCACGAGGGAAAGTGAACAAGGAGTTGTATGAAAAGTTAGACTCTAAGGAAGGAGAACTAGATATTTATAGACTTGCTCGTCTTCGTGATCGCAGAACTCAAGATATTGCAAAAGTTAAGTGTGTGAAGGATGTTGATCAGAGGATATTAATGGACGACGGAGAGATAAAAGAGAGGTGGAGGCCATACTTTGATACACTATTCAACGGGAATAAAACGCAAGATATCGGCGATTTGTCCATACCAGATTGTATGGTAAATCGTGATTTTGTGAGAAGGATCCAAACAACGGAAGTTAAAGAAGCTCTGAGGAAGATGGGACGGAAAAGAGCAATGGGGCCAGATGGCATACCGATCGAGGCTTGGAGAAGTTTGGGAGAGAGAGGCGTCGAGTGGTTAACAAGTTTCTTCAACATGATTTGGAGAAACAACAAGATGCCAACGAGTTGGAGGAAGAGTACTCTTATCCCTTTATTTAAGAATAAAGGTGATGTACTAGAATGTGCCAACTATCGAGGGATCAAGCTTATGAGTCACACCATGAAACTTTGGGAGCGAGTGATTGAGCAAAGACTTCGAAGGACTGTGAAGATTTCAGAGAATCAATTCGGTTTTATGCCTGGTCGCTCAACAACTGAGGTTATTCACCTTCTTCGTCAACTTATGGAGAAGTATAGAGATGCTCATAAGGATCTGCATTTGGTGTTCATTGACTTAGAAAAGGCATATGATAGGGTACCTCGAGAAGTTCTTTGGTGGGCCTTAACTAGGAAAGGCATATCACGCAAGTATATCAGCATCATCATGGATATGTATGAGGATTGTACTACAAGTGTTCGTACTAGTGTAGGGAGGACTGAAGAGTTCCCTATTACTATCGGAGTGCACCAAGGATCGGCCTTGAGTCCTTTCTTATTTGCCATAGTCATGGATGAACTTACGAAGTCAATTCAAGACGATATACCGTGGTGCATGATGTTTGCCGATGATATTGTATTGATTGATGAGACGCAATCAAGTCTTAAAGCAAAGTTGGAAGACTGGCGACAAACATTGGAGAATAAGGGCTTCAAACTAAGTCGGAGCAAGACAGAGTACATGGAGTGCAAGTTTGGTGGAGGTAGAAGTAGTGGTAATAGCGGAATTACTCTGGATGGTAAGGAGATACCAGTCAGCGATATGTTCCGTTACTTGGGCTCCATAATTCAGAAGGACGGTGAGTTAGATGGAGATGTATCCCATAGAATCAGAACAGGGTGGATGAAGTGGAAGAGTGCGTCAGGATTTCTTTGCGACCGAGGTATGCCGACTAGACTGAAGGGTAAATTTATAGGACAGCAATTAGGCCTGCATTACTGTATGGCGTAGAGTGTTGGGCGGTGAAACAATGTCACATTCAAAAGATGAGTGTGGCAGAGATGCGCATGCTGCGTTGGATGTGTGGGTATACTAGGAAAGACCGCGTGAGGAATGAGACAATCAGACAAAGGGTGGGAGTAGCACCTATTGAAGACAAGATGCGGGAGTCGCGCCTACGGTGGTTTGGTCATGTGCGTAGAAGACCGAGTGATGCACCTGTTAGGCGAGTTGAGATGTGTGGAGAAGAGACAGGGAAGAGAGAGAAAGGAAGACCCAAACAGAGGTGGGTTAGGAGAGTTCGAAGTGATATGCTTCTTCTGGGGTTGGATGAGGGCATGACTTTGGATAAGGAGTGATCTTGATAATCTTTTTCCCTCATCTTTTTTTTCCTAGTTTTTTTATCCTTATATATATATATATATGCATTATTTGCAGCCTTTTTATTTTATCGTTTTTATATATATTCATCTTTTTATATTATCTTTTCATAATAGCTTATCTTTTTATCTTTATTCATTCTTTTCCTTTTGGTTGTGATATCATGTATCGATTCATGTTAGCCGACCCCAATATCTTTTGGGACTAAGGCTTGGATATTGTTGTTGTTGTTGGTAAAGAACTAAAAGTGAATTACCATTTATACCCCTCCTTTTTAATGAACATTAAAAGTAAAAGGATGAACAGTACAATAAAGTAAGATTCTTTAGTCTTTCTACCACACTTTCTTAATATTTGTGCTCAAAAGAAACAAGACCATCAATTTGGGACAGAGAGAGTAGTATATACTCTCTCCTTTCAATTTTACTTAGTCAAATCTGACTTTTCAAGTCAATGAAGTTTAATTTTGACCGATTATATGTTTATATAGAGAAAATATTAATAATATGAAAGTGATATGAAAATGTTCTTTGTTAAAAATACTATCATAAAAGTAAAAAATTATTAATTTTGCATAAATATATTAGTTTAAATAATTGATTAAAATTTACCACATTTGATTGGAAAAGTCAAAGATGGCTCCGTAAATTAGAACGGAAGGAGTATATATTTGTGTTATATAGAAAATGTATAAAAAAAGAAAAGTCAAAATGTTAACGGTAGTTGTTTGAGCGAGATTGAAGCAGACTTGCGCATGAACCTATAAGCGCAAGGTTTGTAAAAATTTTCATGTGAGTATGCATGGTCAACCCAGAAGTTTTGAAGCGAGGACGTTCCCGCATAAATGGAAACGGGTCGGGTCAGTCGAATCAGGTGTATCATTGATCTTTTTGTCAAGTGCGTTCAGATTATTATTTTTAAAAGTAAATAGTAATCCAGTGTCGGTTTCAAGCAATGAACATATGGATTATAAGTCTAATTTTGAACTCATTAAGACAATTCTAAACAATAATATTTGGCTTTTTGAAAGAAAGACATAATTTGGATTAGAAATGATTCATCTTTGCGTCATTTCTGATTTTACATTAGAATGCTACACATTGTGCCACAAAATGTGTTGGTACTTCTTTGAAATATATACTCTCATGTTAAAAATGAAGTATAAATCAAGTTTATAAATTCATCCTTCAATACAACTTTATTTAATAATATGATTCTATATATCTAACTTTTTTTTAATCTAACTTTTATCATATTAAAGATAAAAAATTCAAAGGACATGTCAGTTTGAAACTAATTTATCGTGAAATGACCCATTTTTCATGTATGGATTTTTATTCAAGATAATTAAAAGTCTTGTCATATCTTTGACTTTTAACTTTAAACAAACCTTATTCGCCCTAAGTCAAAAAAAAATACAATGTCACTTTTCAAAGAAAGTGTAGTAATCATATCAACAACATGTCTAACTATAAGGATTTGCTCCATCACAACTTTATGGTTGTTTATATTTCTTACTATAATTGTTACTTCCTCCGTTCCATAAAAGTTGCAACATTGGAATTTCTGCGCTATTCACACACCTTACTTTGATTACGATTTTCTAATAATATATATAATAAAAATATTATGTATACAATATTAATAAATTTGTATTAATGTAAATTTCCAATATATTAACTTTTTTTAATGTTTAGTAATACGTAAATAAATATAATTAAAGTCAAAGTTGCGCGTTGGAAAACGTGAAAGTCAAACTGTTGCAACTTTTATGGAACGGAGGATAGTATATGTCTTCGACGGAGTCCTATATATCTAATAGTTTTTTGAAATACTGATGATATGATTGAAATACCTTATAATTATATAACCTTATAACAATAAGTGGACAAAAATATAACTTAGTAAATACCATATAATTATCGTGACAAATTCACAATGGTTGTGTTCAACACTATCACTATAGTGACTATGCATAATAACTATATTAATATTTTTGTTCATGAGTTATATTTCGGTAATATTGTTCGGATAGCGAAGGCACAACTATTATCTTAAGTACTAATACTAAATTTC